ATAACTTAATAATAAATATTATATTAATTATAAACCTTATTATAAAGCAACCCCTTTATTATTTACCTTAATTATTAATAAAATTAGTTATATTATAAGCAACTTATTTTAAGAAAGCTAGAGCTTAATTAAACCTAATTTATTTTATAATTATATTAAGCTAATGCTTATTACTACCTAAAAGTATTAAAATAAAGTAACTTAATACCTAAAAAACCCTTTTTATATTATAAAACCTTACTAGTTTTTTAATAATACGTAGGTCCCGTCATTTCTAGGGCGCAGGCTTTAATGCCGGGAGTAATGCGCGTGGCGCGGAAGGCTAACCTGGCCAAATTAGGAAATAGGGCATAGCTCTATTTCTTTGTAGAATAGGGCCTTTAATAGGAAGACGTTGTGTATCCATGGTATATGCGTCATGTGACTGGCCACCGTCTTGGCGCGGGGCTAGTTCGGCGCCGAAGTTCCTTCGTCAGGCGGCCTTAGGCCTTTATATATTATATAACTAGCCGTTGTACACCCCGCTAGCTTTGCAAGGCAGATATATATATTTAACCTAGCTTAATTAAAAAATAGGGCATAGCTTTATTTTTTTGTAAAATAAGGCCTTTAAGTAATATTTAAGACTTTTAAAACTAATAGGGGCTACGCCCCCTTAAACCCCCCTAGCTTTATAAGGTAAATATATATATTTATAATAAAGCTAGGAAAAAAAACATGGTAAAAAAAGATTATATAACTATCCTTTTTTTTAGCTAATTAAGTTAAAGCAGTAAGAAAAGGTTATATAACTACCCTTTTTCCTAGCTAATTAGCGTTACTTAGTTTACGCAGTAAAAAAAGGTTATGTAACTACCCTTTTTTTAGCTAATTAGTATTATTTTACTATTTTATATAATCCTTAATAAAGCTCACGTGACTGGGAGCCAGGACCTACAATTATCATGCGCTTTGGCCTCCACTTTGTTTCGGCCACGCGCAATAATAGTATTTTAAAAATATATTAAGCTATGATATTTAATACTTGCATAAATAATTAAAAATATTTTTATAATTATTTTATTTAAAGTAATTATAAAGTATATTTTTAGTATAAGTAAAAATATTTTTTATTATTATTAAAACTATTTTTATAGTGCTATAATTAAATAAATTATAGTACTTAAAAAATAGCTAGGGTAAAATAGGGAAAATATAGTAGTATTACTTAAAAATAACTTTAATTTTATTAATATTATAAAAATATTTAAGCTTAAAAAATAATGTTAACCATATTTTTATAGCTGGTACTTATACTCTTGCTATAAAAAAATAATAAGTAGTTTACTTATATTTATAAGCAGGGGTAAGATAAGAATAATAAGAAAGATAAAACTAAAAATAATAATATAAAAAAATATAAAAAACAAGGAGGATTAAAATATAAAAAATTTAAATAAAAAAAGAAAGATAAAAACAGGGAAAATAATAATATAAAAATAAATTTTAAAAAAGTGTTTATTTTATAAACTTTTATAAAAGTATATATTTAAAAGTAAAAAAAAATTATTTTTAATTTTTTATAATAGTTTATTTTGCCTTAGGCAAAGTTTAGTATTTATATTATTTTTTATATTTTTAATATTACCCTAATTTATTTCTTGCTTATTATTTATTCCGCATTATTATTATTATAAATAATTATTATTATTTACGGGGTTTTTTAAGCTGGGTAATTACTACTTTACAAATACTTTTATATTATATATCTTAAACTTTTATATTATTTTATAGGGCACTTAAATTCACGCCTTTTTTATTTTAAGGCATGTCAAATTATTAATTTATGCTTTTTTCCCTAATTTAAGGCATGTTAAATTATTAATCCATGCCTTTTTTAATTTAGGGCACTTTAATTTATATTTTTTTGCTAATTTTAAGCATGTTAATCCATATTTTTTTTACTTTAGGCACCTTTTTTTATAATTTTAATAATAAGGGTTACATAGTTACTTAATAATTTTATTACTAAAGTAATAAAATTATATATATATTAAAAGATTTTTTAGGCTATGTATTTACTTAAAAATTATTAGTTTTAATAATAAAAATATTAATATTAAGGGAGCTTTTTAGGTTATAAAGAAAAAAATTAATATATATTTAATAAATATTTATAAAAAAAACTTAAAAATGCCTTTATATTATAGTTAAGATTTTACAATAGTAAAGTTAAACTAATTTATATTTATTAAATAGTATATAAAGTATTTAAAAAAACCTATAAATACCTTTTTTTAAAAGAAATAATAGTACTTATATAATAATAGTATTATATATTTTAATAAAAGCCTTAATAATCTAGTAATAAAATATTTAGTACTAATATTAAAGGCGCCTGGTTTAAATCTAGGTTAGGGTATTAGCCTATTAAAAGTATTATTTATATTAAAATATAAATAACGCCCTTAACAGGCTTTTTAAAAAAAGTTTTTAATAGGCTTTTTTTTATTTCTTTTAATTTAAACCTAAAAATGCCTTTTTATATTTAAGAAAACCTAAAAATACCTTTTTTAAAAATAAAATAATAGTACTTATATAATAATAGTATTATATATTTTAATAAAAGCCTTAGTAGTTTAGTAATAAAATATTTAATAATAATATTAAAAATACCTAGTTTAAATCTAGGTTAGGGTATTAGCTTGTTTAAGGTGTTATTTATATAAATAACGCCTTAAATAAGCTTTTTTTATTTTTTTAATTAAAAGGCTTTATTAAGCTTATTACCTTATTTTAAAAAAGGCTTTTTTAGGTTTTTATATTATAATAATATTATTTTTTAAGTAACTAGTATTATAAAGTATAGTTATTAAGGTAGTTAGGTATTTAAGTATATTATTTAATAAAATAATATTAATTAGTATAATATATTTAAATATTAATATAATATTAATAATACTAGTATAAAAAACTCATGACGGCCGACGTAGACGAAGCGTCCAATAGGAAAAGTCTAGTTTATTAAAAGATTTGCCTTAATTAGCAGGAAAAAACTTTATGGGCCATGTAACACGCTAGTTCTATAGCATAATGCCTTAAGCACCCCCTATGTTATAATATATATATAAAGCTAAAAACCTAAAAAAAATAAATAAACTTTTAAGTTTTTATTATCCCGGGTGCTGTATAGCCTTTTATTAATTAATTTAAAATTATATACTATACCCCCTGTACTTTCCTATATTTTTAAGATATATTTTTATTTTAAGTAAATAATAATCCCTTTTTTAATAAATAATTTAATTAAATCAAAAGCTTTTTATATTAATATAGCTATCCCCCCAGGAAGCTTTAATTAATTATTACTATTATTTTTTAATGCCTAAATTTTATACCATAGTATTTATTTTTTAAGTTATAAGTTAAGTTATAGGTAAAAATAGCTATAAACTATATATTTTTATAGCTATTATAAGTATAATATTTATTAATATTAATTTAAGACTTAATCCCACGCATTTTATTAATATAATTTTTATTAAAAATACCTTTTCCCGGACCCTTAAGCGCTAATATAAAAATATTTAAATTTTTATTAAGCTTATTAACTAAAGTAGCTAATAAAACCTTTTATATTTTTTAATTAACTTTATTTAGGTGTGTATATTATTATATAAGCACTAAAAATAATTTTTTATACATAATTTAAGGTTTACTTTTATAATTATTTATTTTTTTACTATTATTTATATAGTTATTTTTACTTTAATTTTTTAAAATATAAAATTTATAGTAACTCCTGGTGTTAGTATAACCCTTAATTAATTTTTTATATTTTATATATTTAAATAAGCTTTACTGAACTTACTAATCTTATTAAATTAAACTATTTATATATTATAAAGCGCTAGTGCTGCCTTTAAAATTTAGGGTATTTTATTATTTATAATAATATACTTAATAATAGTTTAAGTATTATTAATATACTTTAATAGGTAAGGTAATTAGCTAATATAATAAAATAATTTTTTAAATAATTACTTAACTAGCTAATTAACTGTAATAATTAAATAATTTTTTTATATTTTATATCCTAAATTCCTAATCCACGGCCTTAATATGCTTTTATTAATAAGCTAAAATATTTAAAATATATAAAGCTAGTATATTATATAGTCTGCCTATATAATATAATCCTTTTAATTAATTAAAGCCTTTTAAATAAGCGCTATATATATTAAGGGTGTTTTATTAACTAGTTATTTATTATAATATACCTAGTTAATAAGTATAAGCGCTAGCTAAGAGCCTTCCCTGGCCCTTAATTAACTTAAACTTATAGTCCTTAATTTTAATCCTAATCCCAAGGCTTTAGTACTATCCACGGGTATTATAAATCCCTTACTTATATTTTATATTAAAAATAGCTTTAATAACTAGCCAGCCTGTTATATAATTAATAATTATAATAATTTATTTATTATTATTAAGATAAAAAGTTTAATGTAAAAGTTTTTTATATTAAATAAATGTTTATTGATTAAATAATTATAAATAGTTTTATAAAACTATTTATTAAATAATAATATCAAAAATTTTTAAAATACTAGGTTTACTCTATATCTTTAACCTTATTTTTAATTAATTTAAAAATTAATAAGTATTAAGGGGGTATATTAATTAATAGTAAAAGCTATTTAAATTACTTTAATAATATTTTAATAGTACTTTAATAGTACTTAAATACCTTAAGTAATTTTAATTAAAATATTATAATATTTATTAGTTAATTACTTGCCTGTATAATAATAATATTTTTAATTTTTAAAATATTATAAAGTATTAATAAAAGTATTGAAAATTTTTATTATTTTTTAAAGCTTAAATTATTTATATAAACCCTAGTTAGCTTTAGCTTTTAAATATTATCTTGCTCCTTATTTAATTCTTTAATATTAGTTTAATTAATAGCTTCCCTTGTACGGTATTCGAAGGGCCTCATAGATTTCTACTCTGATTTATCTGTACTTGGGCCCCGAGACACAGTATGCGTAGTCTGGCCAGAGGTTGCTGCACTCGTCGTCAATGACCGCGTTCCACTGGCGGAACTGCGCAAATGTGATGCCGTATTTGGTGTAGATCAACCAGCACGAATCGCCTGCGACGGCGATATACCACTCGTAGCATGTCTCTGTTGTTCCGGTTCGTGTCTCGGTCGGTGCTGTGACTGTGGTTGATGTTGTCGTGCCTCCGCCGTCACTGGTGGTTGTCGTAGGGATCGCTGTAGACGTAACTGGCCCGTGGACAGGTGCAACGCAGTAATCAAATCCTGTCCCACAACTCATGTAAGCAAGTCCTTCGGTTGCCACGGTGCAGTGCTCACCATAAAGCAGATTCGAGCACTCTTCGTCAATTGATGGGTTCATCGCAATGAGCTGTGCCAGGGTTAACGAGAAGCGCAGCGTCACGTCGTCGCAGATATCGCCTTGTTGGACGGTGTAGTACAGCCCGCAGTTCGCGATTGTGTCCGTTGCTGTTGGCGCGGATGGGCTTGCTGTTGTCGTAAAGGAGGTTGGGTATGCGGCGCCCACGGTGGTGCTGGAAGGGGTGTAGATGCCTCCTGGGGGGCTGCTCATGTTAACAGTTTGAACCGATAGCAGGGCCGATACAGGTTCTACTCGCCCAACACAAATGGTATCACCCATGAATAGATTCTTCAGATCGACATCCGGGTTCCAGGAGACAAACTGCACCATTGTGATGTTCTGGTATGTCTCGCTCTGCAGTAGAATTGGTGCCGACGTATCGTTCGCGATCACCGCAATGTCACAGGGCTCGGGGAGACAGTACGTTCCGTTTGACAGGGGTATGTCGCACTTAGCATCGTAGTTCAGGGACGGAATTGAGCTGGATGGGACGCTCTCTGCTAGACCCAGATCCTGGCATGTTACCATCTCGCCGGGGGCAATCGACAGGGTGGTTGTTCGGTCGCAGGGCGCCTCGACTGTCCAAATGATTTCTGGGCGGCTGAAGCAGTCAAGTCAGGATTCATAGTATCTGAAGGTAATATAAGGTGAATGCCTACTCGGCATCCCAAGGGCCTGTCTCATTGAGGTTAGGATGTACATAGAGCTCCTCGTCCAGCTTGCAGTTCTGCTGCATGTTGTGCCAGACCTGTTCGGTCACATCGCTGCCGTTCGTTAGTATATCGATCAGCGGTGCTCGATAGGAACATACTCATATCCCTCGCCGAACTGGCTACTAAAGCCCAGTTTGAACCGCTCAAGAAAGCACGTCGAACACTGGATCTCGAGCGGGTACTCGTCGTATTCAAGGATCGAGGTGTTTGTCCAGCCGCGGTCAGTCAAGGGCTCGGTGCGGTTGTACCAGTAGTCGAGGGCTGCAGTGATTAGCTCTTATCAAAGTCTGTGCTGTGCCCCCTCTCACAAGCATATCCAAGATTCACCGAGTATTCGACATTTGCCGGGGGCGGGTCTTGGTAGGGTAGAATGACTGTGCCGTTCTCGTCAACAGCATTAGTCCCGTATTCAGGGTCATCTGCAGCGGATTATCAGTAAATATACTCAAGCCAATCGAGCACGTTAAGGTCTACTTGCAGCTCCAATCCGGGTACGCCTTGTTAGTATGAGCTGGCCATGTCACACTGCCCTTCGCCTCCAGAGCCTGCAGCGTCCAGTCATCCTGCTCCAACAGACAGAACGACGACCCATCGGTAAGACATGTGACGTTATACTTGTAGAGATAGAAATCAACCATGCCGGAGGCGCTGACTGCGAGTCCGTCTGCTGTTGTTGACCAGCTCGCGCACGCCGCGTCCACCTGGGTGCGGAGACTTTGGAGAGACGATCTGCAACTGTCCGTGCAGAGGCGGGTCAGGTTCGATTCCTGCCAACCGCCCTCTACCCAACCGTGCTGCTTGTATAGATATTGAACGGACGAGTCGCAGTCTAGGCTTGCGTTGAAGGCTGCCATGCAGGACGTCGGCATGCTGCTGGGAAAAACGCGGGATTGGAGGCCATTCATCAGCATCGTTGCACCGAAGGCCGCTGGGAACAAGCCCAGGAGGCATAAAGAGATTGACATCCTGTATTGATTGATTGTCTTGCTCGTAAGGTCGAGAGCGTGTGAGAATCTGTCAGGCCTGATGGGAGGGCAGGCAAAGGAGGGCTTGAGCTTGTCCCCTTCTTGTCTTTCGAACATCTTGCCGATTGTTCCGGTGACCTTGTTGGTAAGAGAGTAGCAGGCCACCATTTCAAGCCCGGAAATGAGCTCTATCCTGGGTCTTGATCCTTCTCCCACGTAGCGGCGAGGCTAATGCAGGTTCCAGGCACCACGCTGTAACCCCAATCAACCACCCGCGGTCGAGGATAGCGGAGAGTCCAATCAGGGCCAGTCGGTGGAATGAAACAGCAATCTCCGCAATTCCGAGTTATTCCTCCAGGCGCTTCAGTGACCGGTGGTTTCTCCGAAACCAATCGTATCCCGGATGTCAGGCAAGGCAGTGTTTGCGGAATAGCTATGAGGTGAAGCCTGACACGAGGAGACAAGACAATGCTTATAAGAAGCCCCTTTGCCAATTAGCGCCTCTTTGAACATGGTCGTCAATCATACCGTGCCGTGATGAAGACGAGCTTGTTGCTTTTGTTGGCTTTCTTTTTCTTTGCCCTGGTCTGTGGTCAGGACTGTGCCACAGAAGGCTGCGAGCAGGGCTGCTGCGGCACAGGCGGCTACTGCGGGTTTGGCCCTGACTACTGCAGTGATGGCAACTGCGTCAGCTCGTGCAATGCGACGGCCGAGTGTGGACCATATGCCTCTCCTGCTGGGAAGGAGTGCCCGCTGAATGTTTGTTGTAGCGGATGTAGGTCGCGCCTACCTTGCTCAGACCGCGAATGGACATTTACTGACGGTATTCAGTCGGGTAAAGCCTTGAAGAGTTCCGAGGAGACCTAATCTAACCTCCTATCAGATACTGCGGAACAACCTCGGAGTTCTGCAACGATGACTGCCAGAGTGGCTGCGATACCGTGCAGGTCCCCTCGTGCTCCTCATCGTCAGGCTCCGCAGACAAAATGACGATCGGATACTACGAATCCTGGGCATATGAGCGTAAATGCGACCCTCTCGGCCCAGAGGAGATTGAGGCGAGTATGTGGACGCATCTGAAGTACGTCTCACCCTACTACTGTAGTGTATTTGAACATGGATACTGCTAACTGCGCGCCTGCAGCTACGCTTTCGCCCTTGTCGACCCAAACAGTTACACCATCGGCCAAATGAACGTCTATGACTCCGTCCTATATCCCAAGTTTACTGCTCTCAAAATGCAAAACACGAAACTGAAGACATACATCGCCGTAGGAGGGTGGGATGCCGGCGGCGAGGTGTTTTCCGACATGGTGGCTACCGCCGAACGTCGACTGGCGTTCATCAGCTCTGCCCTGGTATTCTGCAAGACATACGCCTTTGATGGGATTGATATGGATTGGGAATGTACGCATAGTCTACCTCAGGTGTCGATGCCCCCGCTGACATGCAATAGACCCTGCAGCCACCGACCGCGGAAGTCGTGAAGAAGACTTCCAGAACTTCGTGACTTTCATGCAAGAGCTATCGGATGCATTCTTTGATGCCGGTCTCGGTGTTACTGCGACATTACCAAGTTCATATTGGTGAGTTCGTCTGATTGTATGCATGCTAAACCGAGGATTCGCTGATGCTGCGTCATAGGTACATGAAGGGGTTCGATATCGTGTCGCTGGAGCCGTACGTCGACTGGTTCAACATGATGACCTAGTGCGCTTCGTCCCCTAACGTCGTTTCGCATCAACTAATTGCCTATAACAGCGACATACATGGAACGTGGGATGGGAACAACCCGTGGGTGCTCTCGCCTCCCCAGAGCTTTGCAACTAACCCCCTGCAGCTACACCTCCAAAGTCGTCAACCCTCATACAAATCTGACTGAAATCGACGAGTCATTGAACCTCCTCTGGAGAAATGGGATCAGTCCACAAAAGGTAGTGTTGGGGCTCGGATTCTACGGTCGCTCGTTTACGCTCAAGGACAAGTCCTGCACCAAGCCTGGTTGTGCCTTCTCAGGCGGCGCCGACCCCGGGGAGTGCACAGATACTGCGGGCATACTGTCGAATCTTGAGATCCAGCGCATCATTGCAGCCAAGGATCTTGAGCCCGTCATGGATGAGAAGGCGGCTGTCAAGTATATGACGTGGGATGAGGACCAGTGGGTTAGTTGTACGTGCTACCTACCGACCGTCTGGACAGGACTGTGCTGAATGGCAGCAGATGATGACTATGACACATTCAAGCTCAAGAAGCAGTACGCCAATAGCAAATGCCTTGCTGGGACAAGTGAGTACTGCACTGTCTGGTGTTCCCACAATCATTACTGCCACTGACCAACAGTGCAGTGGTCTGGGCAATCGACATGGACTCGCGAAACTCCACCTCAGCAAGCCAGCTCGTCGGCTCTGGGGCAGGGTCTGTCACATCGAGTCTCGTAGCAGGCTTCTTCAGCGCCAAGAAGTTGCAGACTGATAATGAGCAGCAGTCGGCGGTTGCACATGCTTTTTGGACGCCTTGCTTGACGGACAAAGACCGGCACTGCCCGCACGGGTTTCAGGCAACGGGGATAGTCGGGCATGGTAAGGTGTTTGATTTTGATCTAAGCAAGGAGGTGGAAGGGTGTCATGGGTCGAAGAATCGGGTGCTATGCGTCAGGAATGGGGTTCTGCTGAAGAATTGCCATTGGTATCGGAACTCGAAGGGAGTGAGTCTGCAGACCCCCCTCTGTGGCAAGACCGCTCATTTACGATCAGGGCAAGATATGTGACCAGTCCTGTCCGGAGGGCACGTACCTTCTTACGCAGACTACACATATCGCTGGGTAAGCCATCGAGGCGTCGATTGCATATATACCTATCCTTCTGACCTTTCCAGTGACAAATCGGGGTGTGCCCATGGGTCGTATGTTCCAATGTGCTGTGAAGGGTTCGAGACTGGGTAAATAGCCCTTACATCCAGTATTTCCAGATACTGACCGGTTAGGGGTGATGTCTGTCAAGCCACAGCCCTCGACATGCTTCTCTCTGGCGGGTTATCCAACAACAACGCCAATGCCAAAAGGTTTGTTACGGGCTCAACAGGTAGCTCTCGTGCCCTCGCAAAACGTGCCAGGGGGGATCTCGCCAGAACCAGGGGGCAGAAAAGGAGGGCGAAACGGCAGAACAGCAGTGGAGGCCTGTACCCATGCAATGGAGACTACTATGTCAGTACCTGTCCGTGCATTTCATCGCTTCATCGCTGACTGAGGCAGGACTATCCCGACCCGCCGGTAATTGACAGATGCACCTGTTCATTTCCTTCTTATACTGACTCGCCACAGCGCGATTTCGGCTACACCCCGGTCTACGCGTATTACCTCTTCGACCCAGATGCCCCCGGGGCAAACGTCGGCAAAGAGATCGCCGCACAGCCCGTCTACGTGGTCACCATGACCGTCCGCCCGGCCGTAACGATTGAGGACTACAAGCCTATCCAGAAGATCTGCGACGGCGCCAAGTATCCGCAGCCCTGCGCGCACTACCGGTCTGTCGCCAGTCGCAACCCCTACCTGGCATATCCACTCTGTGTGAACCGGGCCATGCATTACGATGAGTACGAGTACTACCGCGCAGCCGCACCGCGCCGCTGGAACGAGCAGCATGACCCAGCTTGGTATCAGTATACTGAGAAGCGGTATCCGGTGCCCTATCGGGGGGGTACTATTGGGGACTTGACCTGTGATCGAGACGAGTGGCCGCCATACGCGTGCGTCCTCATGCTGACTGCTCAGTTTTGGCTCTTTCCTACTAACGTCCTTCTTCTAAATAGTGTCTGGAGAGGCCGTACCCCATACTGGATTCGATTCCTTCCATGTCTGTTCTCTGTCCTCTTCTGACAGGTGAGGATTGTACTGACTCTATCCAGCCGGCCAGAATCGAGCTGTTCCCAACGCTCGAGAGTCCAAGTGGAATTTTGAATTAATTTGTATGTCTCCTCGTCCATTACTACCATCAAGCTAATCACCGTAACCTCGCTACTGTAGGCGACTGGCCCCTGCGCTCCAGCTACAGCCAGACGCTGTTGGGCTCTTACTTTGACGGGCTCGTCATGACATACACCGTCCAGGACGTATCAACGATTACAACCAATGCCCTTGTCATGGATTATATCAATCTTCCAGTCGGTGGAACAGACAAGGACCTCCTGTCTACGAATCCGTGTATCCCAAGCACACTCTCACCGGCTGTAGAGCCGGGGTTTGCCCTTTACATAAACGGTGTGTCCATTTCCACCCATACCCATATCCGAGAATGCATGCTTACTTTGTTCTACATCCAGATGCCTACTACACGATCGACCACCGGAACCTTCAACCGTACTCATACGGAAACACCCCGGACTACGCCGTGACATCGGGAAAGACGTATCCCGTTCGCCGGTGGTTCGAGCAGGGCGGCCACGGGCATCAACACGGGCACGGACACAGCCACAGCCACAGCTACGACCCCAACAATCTCATTTTCGACGACGCGCACGGCGTCGTTCTCGTCGAGGACAGCGACACAAACACGACGCGTCTCGCTACAGACGAGGAAATCGCCGCGGATCCGTCCATGCGTCGCTGCGCGGATGAGTCCTGTAGCGAGGAGATCGCCGAGATAGAGAATATGTACAGGGAGATGAAGCGTGAGAGGGACGAGGCGGTCTCCGCTATCCTCGCCGGGCGGCCGATTGAGTCGAAGTCGAGCTCTGGAAATGAGGACGAAGGGGCAGGTGCAGGTGCAGTGGTCGCAGTGGTGACGGACTCGGAGAGTGAAAGGGCACTGGAACTGGGGCCGTTAATGACGCCGGAGCCTGTGGCAGGTGCTGCGCCGCCGATGGTGAGTGTTGTTGCTAGACCGACCGCGGGATAATAGGCATGGTATACTTTTATGGTAATGGTATGGAAGTGCCTATGGATGCGAAATAAGTAAGAGAGGGAGGAAGCAATGGAGAGATCGAGGTAGTATTGGAAGGAAGAAGAGGCTATAGCATCCGGATACAACAGTAGCGAGAAGGAGAAATAACAGAAGCGTTGCCCTAGTCTGCTATAACACTTCCAACCGATAGTGCTGGTGACCTGGCTACCCAATAATGTACTAGGTAACCATGGTGACTGCTGGAAGTAGGTGCTGGCAAGTATATGGCCGTCTCCTTGCCAGCTACTGCAAGCGCAGCCTGCTCCCTCCCTCCCTGTCCACAACCCCTAAACTCACCACCGTCTCCCTGGCCTTGCCGTCCATCCAACTCATTACCTGATATCCAGACAACCCCTTATGCCCGTCAGCACCGCCCCCAACCGAGCCACTTTGATCATGAAGCATCCCCCCCTCAATCCCAACCCAAAACGCCGGCAGCACACTGGCCTTCCACAGCCCGACGTCAACCGTCCCGCTCACATACACCGTCGCCAGCACAAAGACCACCCCAGCCAGCAGCAGCAGCATCGGCAGGGCAATAAACGCCCAGGTGACACGCACATAGGCCACACTGACGCTCACATCGCCGGCGACCGTCTCGCTACTAAGCTCCATGCCCGTCCTCGTCAGACTCGCCGCGACATTGCCCACCACCGTCTCGAACCCGACGTCCTGGATCCGCGAAAGCACGTCGTTGTCGTACAGAGTCGTCTCGCTGAGCCGCCACTGCCCGGCCGTAGCGTTTGCGGGCTTCACGAAGCTCCATGACTCGGTGGATCGCAGGATCTTCCAGAGCGGTCTGGGGAGGACGTCGTGGGTGACGATGGCGCTTTGGGGATTAGGGGCTGCGTCGCTGCCGTTCGTGAAGCTGGAGCTGCCGAGGACCTCCTCCGGGCAGATGATGCCCTCGGCGGCATTGACCCGTGTGCCCACCATGCTGGTGTTATAGAGCGGGGTGAATTCAACGGCCGAGACATTGACGGCCTGGGATGCTGACGGCCGCGAACTCCCACTCCCACTCCCAGTGTCCGGAGCCCTCCAGCAGAACCCCCCATTCCCCATCCTCGAGCTGTCAAAGAGCAAGTCCCCATACCGTGGCTCCGAGGTACGGATCGCCGGAATCCCACGCGTGACGGAGACAGTATACTCCCTGGCACACGGGGCAAGCACACACTGCGTGACATCCCGCAACTTGATCCCCCCAGTCCGCAGCGCCGGAACGGCGCTGTGGATGTGCGCCTCAAACCACATGCTCCCATTCAGCGGGACGTCGACGCGCGCGCGCCAAAACACCGCGAGCGGATTCCGCACCCCGCTCAGCGTCACGTTCTTCTCTAGGTTGACGCTCTCGACAGACCACACGTAGTCGACCGGGACCGACAGCGCGCCTAGAATCCGCGGATCCGCCTCCACGTGCTTCTTCAGCTCGGTGAACGAGGAACTGCTGAGCGGGGAGGACAGGGATACGGCGCAGGGGATATCCGTTGCGTTATTTTTGTCCTTGGTGCGTCCGGACGTGCCGTTGGACGAGGCGTCGCAGGTGAAGCTCGCGGAGGCGGTGACGTCCGAGCAGGCGCTGCACCAGCCCATCGAGACGAAGGGGGCGAAGGTGCAGTTCCCCGAGGGGCAGAGCGGGTCGAGGGCGAAGGAGTCCGTCCAGATCCCCGCGTGGATGACCGATTTGATGGAGCGGTTTGGGCCGGCGTCGAAGAGCGGGTACCGGGCTCTCTTGAAGCTGGCTTGCATGTGGGGTTCGTTCTTGTTCGGGGTTAGCCGGATGGGGTAGGAGAGGATCTGCTGCATGAAGGGGTCGAATGCCAGGCAGAGCATTGTGACTGCGGCGCCGAGGCAGAGTAGGTCTTTTCCCTTGTGCCGGAGGATGAGCCAGAAGGAGCCGAGGGGGCCGCGGCCGGCGTCGTCTGCGAGCTGCAGATCGGAGAGCGGCTTCCTGCTGCGTCGGAAGGCGATCCATTTGAGCTGGCCGATTGCGGAGCTGATGGCGAAGATCAGAGAGGACTTGGAGCTGGTGGATAGGATCGAGATGATGGTGTTGAGGGTTATGCCGGAGGGTAAGGCGGGCGAGGGCTTCTGGTCGTGGACGGCGAGGAGGACGAAGATGGCAGTGAAGGCAGAGGTGCTGAAGATCAGGGCCAGGATCTCCCAGAGCCAGGTGTCGAGGGATAGAGAAGTCCAGCGGGATGGTTTGGGCGGCATTTTGGAGGGAAGTGGCTTGGGGAGCGGATGAGGCATCGTGAGGTGTACTTATCCTGGTTGAAGGTGACCTTGGTTAAGGTGAAAGAAGAAGCTGTACGACGTCCTGATGCTATTTCCATTCCTACTTCTTTGTGTCTACTCTACACCCAGGTAGTACTGATAGAGGATCGACTCGAGCATCAAAGGCATCATCTTCATCTTCATTGTCAGGCCTGTCTAACGAGCACAGCCCCGGGCGCCCTCTCAAACCAACACCTCCACCAGCTCACCATCCAGACTTGACTACATCCGGCGAACAACCAGAAATACGGATCTAGCACGAAGGCAGCGGGTCGCTGTACTGACACGCATCGCTAGGACCGGAGCTGATCTCCTGGGGCTGCAATGATTAGCACTGCCTCCTTGTCCAAGGATCGAAAGCCATACCTCCTCGTCATTGTTGTCCGTGCCCTGGTACTCGGTGCAGACGGCGTCGACGTCCGTCACGCAGGTGTCGCTCTTGATGGTGGCCGTGTCGCCGTAGTTGCTGTTGATGCCGACCAGCGACGCAGAGCCCGACACGGCAGTCACCGACTCGAGCGTCACATGGCGCTCGTACATCTCGTCGCAGTTGCCGCACGACCGGTACAGCTTGCCGAAGTTGTACGCCGTGAAGCCGCTGATGCTGACCGTGCCGCCGCCGTTGTGCTGGATGACCTGGTGCCGTCAGTACTCCATATCCATCCTGGTCAATACCTAGGTAGATGGGACCTGGACGTACCTTGTCATCGGCATTCTGCGCACCTCCCCCAATAACAGTAAACGGTCCATCCCCGGTCTTGAGACTAAGAGCATCCTCACAAACAGCCTCCCACCAAACATTCTCAATCGTGCAAGAGCCCTCACAATGCACGCCCTCGGTCTGGTCCTTGCCGATAATCGCATTCTTCAGGGTGCCCCCATCCTTGACCATAAAGACGGCGTCCGAGTCCCCGCCCTCGCTCTGCCCGGAGCACTCCACGCCGCGCCCAAACGTCTTCATCCCGCCGTCGTACGTCTCGTTGCCGGCGACCGTGTACGTCTCCGTGAACGTCTCGCTGCCCTGCGACGCCGGCATCGGGAAGCTGAAGCGCTTGTCGAGCCGGTTGAAGTTGCGGCTGTTGGTGCCGTGGCTGCGGGGGGCGTGCGCGGCCGCGGCCTGCGCGCTGGTTGTTAGGCCTAGACCCAGGGTCACGGTGAGGGTTAGGGCTTTGGTGAAGAGCATTTTGATGTTTGCAAGAAGGGGATGGAATGAATGTTGTTGAGAAGGAAGGAAGGAAGGTTGATACCAGATCAACGAGTTGAGTGAATGGATGAGTTTGATGCTGGGGAGCGATACTTCGGGTTCAGACACTTCTTATAACCCTTTTCCACTATGGATAGTAGAAGTAACTTGGCGTTTCAATGCAGTTAATCCCGCTGAAACGGATCAGCAGGACTGGAGCGCTGCCCGGTGATTCGTGGCATGGCAGCGGACTGTCAAACTGGCACACGCTCCCCTGTTGATCCGCTTGGCAGGGAAAGCTTGGAAGAGTCCATGCGGTTCAATGACTCAGTGTCAAACGTGAGAGTCCCTTGGCAACGTCAGTTAGCGCCCATGATCAGCTTGCTATCTGGTCTGAGAGTCTCAGACAGATGGCCAGCCGGGCCTGGAGTCACTCGGTGCGGATGCCGCGGGGGTCCGGCGTTGTCTGATGCTACCGCATGGGATGGCAAGCCGCTCCTGAGGAAGTCTACTCGGTGTAGAGCGAATTGCTTACAAGTTTCCATTGTGTAGGTATACGGTTAGCGCCCTAGGAGACCTACTTTGACCCTACCCAGGTAGGCGCCGGGGAACCTGTCCTCATATCTCATTAATAGTTCTGGCATAACACTGCATATATTCGAACGTCCTGCGTCTAGTCTCGAAGCATGTGCATGAATACGAGCATACTTCGTAAAGCCATGCGCAAAGACCCTGAGCATGAGCATGAGCATAACCCGCTGTGGGCCTTCTGGGGCTGTGCAGCAGGGTCCTGTCTGGAGTATATTAACCCAAACACAAAGCATCCAATGACATTTCTATCTCTGTTATCAGCCCACCGTTAACTCACACTAGGCCAGGCTTATCACTATCACAGTATTCGTCACCCGCAACGTCACCGTGCGGCACAAGCCCTAACTCTTGCAATCAAAGTTAGCGCTGTGCTTTATTCGAGACCAGGCACAAACCCAGGATATGGGGCGCTTAGAATAGGAGGCGAACATGACCAGGGTCAACTAGAAGTCCATCATATCACCCCCGGCCCTTGAGAAAGTATAGAAGCCCCGAAGTGCAGCCGACCCGACTCGCCGATCAGAATATCAAACTCCGCAGACCCCATCAGTCTGTAACAGATCGGCTCACGGGCCCAGACAGACCCAGGCCTGTCCCGAGTCATGTAACAGGCCCAGACCAGCACGAGCTATTCAAGGCTCTCGTATCTCTTACGCTTGCCGCAATCAGGGCATGCCTACGTAGGTATCTGGAGTACTGTCGTCCACGGTTAATACCCAAACATCATACCACGCGGTGGCACATGGATTCATTGATCTAGGCTTCTACTCCGCTGGCGTTATTTCAATTTCACCGAAAGCTGGTCTTCGCGTTGCACCGGTAGCCGTTAAGATGATGCGCCGCGCGAAGCAAGACGGCATCGCACGATCTTCGTTGGGTGTACGGAGTAGAGAATACATCCAATGTCAGTCCATGCTGGGCTGTTTAAAGAGTGTACGGAGTACAGAAGAAATGAGATCAGCCAGACTTCCGATCTCGGTTCAACGCGCTGGGTTCCCTTCATGCTACAGTAAATGGTAGGTGCGATCCACAGCCAGCTGAAGCCCATACCATGGGAGCGTGGCCAGCGGAACCGGACCTGCCATTCGTTCCCATGCACCTACCTACCTACCTACCTTCTTCTCTCATGCTGTGCATCCGCATGTATTTGTTATCAACCCTAGAAGCCGTCTTGCAAAACTTTGAACCTCTTCAACCACGCCGGAAAAGGAATCTACATCGAAGCACATGCACCGCTCTTCGTAGACTATGGTACACATACAATATTAGGGTTCGGGACTTGTCCTGGCGAATGGAAGTTCGAGTATGCTAATTCCCCTCTGCCACGCTTTGAAGTCGGTGTGTACTATTGGGCGGGCCTGTGGTTAAGAGGGACGGGGATATGCTGGATCTTAGTATTGCTGTGGGTGCTCCGGCTAGGGCTCGAGGTTGTCAAGAGGTCTTTATGTTGTGTCTTCCGCCGATAAAAGATCTTCCACGTGCAGATGCTCTGTATAGCGTGCTGACGGCTGTGAGTGTTTTCTGGGAGACATGTATATTTTATTGATTGGTAGGTAAGATCTAAAAAAGAAAGCATCGCAGCCTCTTCCGGTAATCCAGCTCTTTCTGAAACAGTTCTTACCAACTTTAGCTCATCGCCGACAGCTCAGTGAAGCTTGAGATCAAGGAGTCGTCCATGACTCTCCATGACGCAGTTTTGCAACACTCATTGCGTCATACAGTATCCAGGCTACCTCTCCCTATAAAGCAACACAACAATCCCGGTCCTGGCAGTCTCATTATTCGAAATTAATATAACCATATATCGCCCTGATATTCTGTGAAGCAAAGATGTCTCCGGTAAGCCACTCACCTCTAGACCAGCCCAAGATCCGTCCCCTATACAAGTTAACTAACACTACCCATAGCAAAAGTACACCCCCTTACAAGACAGAATCGTTGCCAAAGTGCTAGCCGAGAAGGAGGCCCCCAACGGCGGACTCTCGTCCTCCAACTCTGCCGCGCAAGAAAGACCGATTACAGGCGAGGTCCTGGCAGTTGGGCGGGGCAGGACCTTAGGCGACGGGGCCCATGCGCCTTCTATGGTGAAGAATGGTGACAGGATCCTGTTTGGGAAGGCATATCTTGTCCTGTTGCATGATGAAACTGATTGGAATCTAGACTAATATCGTCTAGTACAGCGGAACTCGTCTTGAGGTTGAAGGCGAGAGCCATGTTCTTCTCCGGGAGGATGAGTGGGTTTCTTCTTTTATTTGTGCAAGTGATAACCTAACGGATTCGATTTTCTAGGGTTTTAGGGGTACTTGAGTAGGGTTAGTCCTTGGAAACGAAATTCTTGAAGATTGGCACATCGCCAAATACCTACGGTAGCTAGTTCCTCAGTATTATCGTTTGATTTCGAACTTGGATGTACCCTCTCATAATGGTCTATATCGTAAAATACATTATTTTACAACCATGATAGCCAAGCGGACTGTCAATCTTCGAGGGTTTTATTTCCAACGAGTGTGTATAACACTAAGTGACGAGTATATGTTGATAGTTTTCAGGAGGTGAATTGCTGTGATCTGTTTTAAGGATTAATTAATAAAGATAAATATGCCAATACAGGGCTTCGAGCTTGAAGGCTTTTTAAGAAGGTGCCATTGTGCTAATTGTATAGCATGTGTGCATGATGGTAGCTTTGCTCTTGAGAGAAATCGCATGAATTCAACAGATTTCACATGTCAGTAGCATAGAACAGACACCAGCTGCATTCAAAGGTCCAGTCATCTCCTAATCTTGAATACAGATGAGGGTACCTGAAAGCCTTAACATTTACCACAATCTGGGAATCCGGGCACTGAAGGTGAAGTGCATAGCAGTAAAGCTTACATGCCACTGCTAATGCTAATGCCGACTACATTGGAAAAGAGTAAAGAAAAAACTAGATAGCTTCATTCAATTTCACTTGCTATGACAATTCAGCTGCATGATGCCTCCTATCTTTCTCGCTGTCTTCTCTTCTCTCCCTTCGCTATCTGTGCTGAATCGTGGTAAATCCCTCCATTCTATACAATCGACGGACCGGCAGGCGAGCATAGGTAGGGTAGGTAGCATAGATTCCTCCGCAACCGAAAACACATGCCGTTGATTTGGAATGCCGCTCTGAGGTCCGGTCATGGATTGTTGATTGTCTAGCCCTTAGAGAGCGGTGCAGCAGTGGTAAAAGCCCTAGATCATCTGGATGAGTACGGATCCCAGAAAGCGAAGAGTAACAATAACGACAGTGTCATCACATGAAGTCGGTGAAGGTAAACGGAAAGGTAAAACGCACATCGTTGCGGAGGACGGGCTCCTATAGCCATGAGGACATGTTAGCTAGTTTAAACACAACACAAAGAGGTAAGGCAGGACTGGAGAAGAAGATAGTAGCACATACCCAGCCAACAAGGCAGTCGAGGAGCGAGGCATCGGAGGCAGACTCGAGGGTGCAGGTCTCTTTAGCCTTGAGGGGCGCGGGGGCAGCAGTTGCGAGGGTCATGGTCAGGGCCATAATGAGGATAGTGGTGAAGCGCATTTTGCTTGTGTTGGTTGTAGTAGCTGAAGTGGTATTTTAGGTGATTTGTATGAGTGGAGGAGGGTTATTGGACTTGGTTGAGGACGATGATTGAGGAGGATGGGGAGGAGGATGAGAATGACTTTGGAGGGGATTTGAGGGAGTATTTATGTTGGATACGCAGAAGACCTGGAGTGTCTCCAGAGTGTTTGTTGTAGATGTTGGGTGAGTGCAGCAGTGGAGTGAATGCACTGCAGTATTGCAAAGAACACAAGCAGTGAATAGACCTGCATCCAAACAGACACCTGTTTAATTCTGATTCCAGAGTGAATAAATGCATGGCTCTGGTTCTGATTCAACTACACATGTAGAAATGCCGATGATGCTCAGATCATTTGCCATGCCATTCAGCCCGGAAGTGTCCCATGCCATGCCATGCCTACTGCCTACTCTCTAATTCAATGCCAGAGATATGGATAGTCCATGGACACTTCCAGCGTCACTCCAGAAACTCAAAGTCCTAAGCGAATCTGCTGGGTAGACAATATCTGGAGACAGTGGATACTGATGAGTACCGTCCTGCTATGCAATTACTTTCATAGGGCAGAGAGCAGCGACATGTCTCGCGACCTTCCAAGTTGCACGCTACAAGCTCTACACGCCCGTCTTCAAGCCGCAGTACGCTATCCGCCTGTGCCTGTCAAGCTCAGGCTGAGTTGAGGTACCTACCTAAGTAGCCGCCAACCCATGCTCAATCAACCGGATATCGACACCGCTGGGGTATATGAAAGATGTTCTGGTTGATGATACCAAGCTATCTATTTGCTACGTTGTTGTTGTTGTTTGTCTTGACTTCTGAGTCTCTGGCTCAGGGCCATGGTGCGGTTTCAACTCTTTCTATTCCGCAGTGCCCGCCACAGCCGCTTGTTATGAAGACAAGTTGACGTTAACTGCGGTGCGATGGGGCGCCTTTTCAACTACGGTACCATCCTTGAACCGTGTCCAGCAAGGTCTGTGCTCACTGCAAGGGAACTATATCAATAAATGATGTCCCGACCAAGCTTTGGAAATGGAGAGCATACTGCCTCCCCAGCCATCCCTCCAGCGAGTCCAGCGAGCAGGTATGGAGAAGTTAAAGACCCGGTGGCACTTCTGAAGAGCCACGTGGTCTAGTGTAGACCCTTTAGACTGTATATGGGTGCTTCAACAAGAATGCACATGACTTTACCTCTTATGGCATTTACCTGTCCTCTACAATGGTATTCTCTTAATCAAAAGCAAAAACAGTTATTATTGGTACGCATGGGATATAAAAACAGAAACAAACATGAGATCTCACCTAGCAAAGGCTGTGCATACGATTGACGTATACAAGCCTTAGCAAAACTGGATCTTGTAACGAGCGGACGCGGCAGTACCAGGGTACGTCGCCAACTTACGGTTCATCTAACTGCCTCATCGCCTCCACGATATCCTCCCAGAGGTGAAGACGATCTTCAGGATACTCGCCAGAGGGCTTACCCGGACGAGCGCCAGCCTGGCGCAGCAACGAAGCGACTTCATCGTCATACTCATTGGCAACGGCATGCCCAAGCGGCGTCTGGCCAATGCAATCTGGCTTATTCAGGTCAGCACCGGCCTTGATAAGCATTTGCGCGATCTCCTTGTTGCCCTCCATAGCAGCCATCGCCAGGGCAGTCTGGCCAATGGAGTTGGTACAGTCGATGTGCTGTGGACGCCGTGCGATCAGCACCTCCGCGGCACCTTTGCCCCGGTATTTGGCAGCCAGGATCAGCGCGAGATTCTTGTCGACGGCAACAGAGGCGCCGGCGTCCAGCAGGAGCTTACACACCGCGCCGTTTGTCGTGGCGTAGCTCAGCGGCGCAAGGCCGTGCTTGCCCTCGCGGTTCAGGTGGCATTTGGCCGGGGGATGGGCCAGGATCCAGCGGAGGACCTCGGGGTCACCAAGGATAGTCGCGTAGTCAAGTGCGGATAGGCCTGTGAAGTAGTTGACTTTGGTGATGTCCGCTCCGCGGTCCAGGAGGGCGCGGATGGTCGCACGGTAGCCGGCTGGCAACTGCGTTTCCATGTCCGGGCGCACGTCAAGCGTGCCGAAGGCCTTTTTCTCAAGTAGCTCGTAGAATGTAGCCAGAAGCGGGTTTGTATCAGCCTGTTCAGAGAGATCAACGAGAACCGAAATCACAGGCACGCCGTTGACGTTGGCTCCTCCGTCAAGCAGTGCTTTAACGGCAGCGCCGTGGCCCCCTTTCGACGCGGCCAGCAGCGCGGTTTCGTCAACTTCATTGATAAAGTTGGGGCCGGCCTTGTGTGCAAGGAGCACCTTGATAACATCCGTGTGGCCATAGCGGGCCGCCTTCAGCAGCGGCGTATTGTATTGGTCGTCATGGCTGTCCACATCAAACACGCCTGCGATGTTGGGGGATAGCAGGTACTCCACTACCTTTTTCGCACCGTATGATGCTGCAAAGTGTAGGGGGTTGCGCCCATTCACAACCCTGGCTCCGCGGGATAGGAGGAGCTGGACGACTTCAAGCTGGTCTGCCCCAATGGCCTTCGCTAGGTCAGGGTCGGCCCCATGGTCAAGAGCAATGCCCACGATCTGAATGCACCCGCTGGTAGAGGCCAGTCGAAAGGCATTGCGTCTGTACTCGGCGTCTTTCTTAAGAACGGGGACAAGATCGTTGATGATATACTGCACCAGACCAGGTTGGTTGTGTCGTGCAGCCCAGAGGAAAACCTGTTTCTTCTCCTCAAGGGTCAGGGCGTACAGAATGGGGTGGCCGATATCCCAAGAAAGGTGAGAGGTTCGGATGAACGCTGCGAGATCGGGCTTCTCGCTTGCCTTGAGGATCGCAACGATCAGCTCGTTGGGGAGGTTGAAAAGTCGGAAAGAAGGCATCTTGGAATCGTACTGCTCGTATCTGGGACGAGTGATTCTGCGATATGGGATGATTCGACACACTTGGGAGGAGAGGACGTGTTATTTATATTGCAATGTCTTTGTCTGGGGCCAATACTTTCCCAGTGACATGTCCTTTGAAGATCTCACTGGTATTCATTGTCACAGTCACTGGCTCCAAGTGACAATGAGACAATGTCTTTTGTTCTCTTTATTCTGCGGTGAAAGAGATGCCCAACGATATGCCATGTCAGGACAGAACACGCGCTGTTGGCTTTATGCGCCGAGAAGGCGCAGAGAAGGCGCAGAGTGAAGTGGCATTGTTATATTGTCGTAATTTATAGAGATAAAGGATTCCCCTCAAACCACGCATGTGATAGTCCTGGTCTTTGTGGTGGAAGGGCAGGAGCGACTGGCACTGGATGCGAATGCCTCAGCTTCGTAGGGTACCGGGGGGCGTAACAACTACAGGTGTAGGCAGAGTGCTTTGCGTTCATCAAGGCTAGAGCAGAGAACAGTGGTAGAGCTCACGAGGCTTCTGAGGGTGAGCTGTAGCCATGGCCGGCCGTGTACAAGTGGTCCGGCTTCGCAATGACAGCCCTAATTCAGTGCCCAGACTACGCCAGCAGAGGACTCGATCTTAAATGGGAAATTAACACAGTGTACCACCTTGGGGAATCCTCTTTTGCCAGGATTCAATCAAGCCCGCCATCCTCTCCAACTGCACTTTGATCCACCGCCAGCCCAAGACAGTCGACACCCAGTACTCCATGGCTTACAAGGTTTGCAGTCCCTTCAGTATGCTCAGGGTACTCTGGATATGGGGCAGATCGGCTTCAATGTTTGCATTTGCTTACAGGTCGATTCTTCTAAGGCTACGTGTGGGTGGTGTCCTGTACATGGATCAACTCCTTGACACCGGGTACTATACAAGTCGCGAACTGCTTCTTCGACACCTTATTGTAAATCATGCCATCATCTCGTCTAGGTGGGTGTAGCCGGATTAAGCCTATGCAAGTCCAATGCAACACGAGCTGCCTACATATCTGATACACTCTAAACCCCAAAACACGAGGATGCAAAGTGTGATTGATATATTGAACCCATTGATCTGTAGTCTGGACCCTGTCTCGACAGGCTGAATAAACCAGAAACCACAACCGTAGCAAGCACTGCATCAAACATCCCATCCCGCATACACGGCCTGGCTAAATCCCAGCTCAACCAGCCCGTCATGGCAATTCTCGTGCCATACACGCCTACCAGTCCCGCTCGCAGCAAGACCAGCACTACCAGAGATCAGTGGTTAGCATCCAGCACGCCCAGACCGTGATTAACGCTCACCTTGCCAGTCACCTTGGTTGCGTACTAGACAGCGTTAGCGAGTCCATATACTCATGTACCTTCGTGCATACCAATCCCCATGGGCAGGAAGTCCTCTACCTATGGCATGTTTTCCTGCATTTGACGCGTTTCTCAAGAGGATGGCGGAGGCGTGACCCCCGGATGCAGACTCCCCAAAGGCTTAACCCACCGCGAGCGGAGTACGCAGCCTGTGTAAATAAATACGCCGCGCGGCCTAGGCTAAGTAGTAAAAAGGTGCCTTTATAAAACTATCCACCTAGTATAAATAATAACTTACTATAAAGCTAGAACCCTACTAGGTTAAAGCATGGCTAAAACTAGTGCTAAAATAACTAGTTTTATATTACTAGCTAGCACTTAGGTTCTTGCATAAAAACTTTAAGTAATACTATAAATACTTTTAGTATAAAAATATTAAGCTTATTTATTCCTGCGGGAGAAATAAGAGCCTTAAATACCTAGTTTTTTATTATTACTTTAAGTAGTATTTTTTATAATAGCCCTAACGCCTTATAATATTATTAATAATTAAAACTAAAATTTTAAACTACCTCCGCGAATTAAAGCCCAAGGGCTTTATATTTTTACTTAAAATTATAAACTTTTATAAGTTTATTTACTTATACTAGGGTTTCCCGCGCCCTAGTAGTTCCTACGCTAGGATTATTTAGCCTAATATTAAATAATTTTTTTTTATACTATATTTTTTTTTAAACACCTTTTTTTAATATAACTAGTTTATCTAGTGTGCTTTTTTTTATATAAAGGCTGGACCTTATAAACTATTATAATTAAACTTTTAAGCATGTAATAAATAATACCTGCTAATAGTTATATATTAAAATAATAAGTAAAAAATAGGCACCTAGCTTATAAGCTTTAGTAAAAATTACCCTTTAAAATAAAAAGCCTTTTTATATATATATATAAACTTATTTAAATAGGTTACTTACCTAGCAGTGGCACGCCCTTATACCCTAAAAAAGGTCTGGAATATTAGGCGTACGCCTAGTAATCCCCGGGGCGTTAAATATCACTACTACTACTACTACTACTCAAGGGGATGGGGGTCGGTGTTGATGCCAGCACGGGCATCGACAGCAGTGTCAATGGCAGTGGGAACTGCAGTCGCCACGGTCGCGAGGGCCGCAAGGGTGATCGTGAGGAGGGCAGAGACGTGCATTGCGGTGGTGTGTTGCATTGACGGTCAGTAGGTATTTAGAAGATGGGGAGGAAGATGAACTGTTCTCTGAAGACCAGTCTGGCGTACTTATAACCCGGCCAGCGGTGTATGAGGGTCTGCTCGGTGGCATTCCTCAAGATCGAGATTCAATCTGAGCGCCCGATCTCACTCTGTGTAGCATTCCGGCCGATCTGCGCTATTCATCTTATTGAGATGGAGGCTCAGCGGACAAAGGGGAACTGGCACTGCGCCCTGACGGTAGTACAATGTCCTCTAGTCAAGTATACTGACGTGGCCCGTCCGTTGCGTTGGTATGAGCAGGCTCAATAGCCATGTAACCGGCACCCTAACCTTGGAATGCTCAAGACGAAGTTGCCTGTATCCATCAATGACTGCTACCCTATAGTATCTTGGCCTTCCTTGGCTAAACGGGGTCATCTCTGTTTTATCCGCCCAGTTTATCGCCGCCTCTTCTTGACGTTCCCAAGTCAATATGGATGGTAGACACCGCATGTGCCGGTCCAGCGGGGTGGCAAGCCCTAACCCAAACTCAACCTTGCCAGGCGGAATCCACTTCCAGCCAGCCACTCGACATCAGGCTACCCTTCCAATGCCAGCCCTCACGGCCTTTGCCGGCGTCCGACAACTTCCCATGATGTCAGGCTTACTCGCTAGCTCGGCCAGACCGATCCAACTTGGAGAGTGAGATGCCGTTGCTCGACCGCCGACAGCACCTGCAAGACAAGACGCGACAATGAAGATCGACCTCGCAGCACGCCTGCTCGCCAGCTTCCCCAGCCTCGCCTGGCTCGGGAGCTCGAAACAGTCCCAGCCTGGTCGCCCGCCGAGTCCTCCCCCGCCACCGCCAATCAACCTGACCGTCCTGCGCGGGGGAGGGAACCAGTCCAGTCCGCTGCTGCACGGGATTATGTTTGAGGTACCTCTCTCCTGTCTATTATACTGGTAGCGCTAACTGACGGGGTATAGGAAATGGACCATTCAGGTTCGTTACCACCCTCCCCCTCCTCCTATGGTTCCTGCGATGACAACGCTCACAGGCGACGGCGGGCTGCACGGCAACCTGCTCATAAACAACGGCTTCCAAGGCGACAACCCAGGCCTAACAGGGTACAAGGGGATCGGCAGCGTCGAGATAACACAGTCCAGCGACCCCGTCAGCACAGCCATCAAGTCCTCGTTGTCCGTCTCCGTGCGCGCCGACGCAAAGGGGCTCGTGGGGTTCGCGAACACGGGCTACAACGGGATCACCGTGCGGAACCAGACGTACTGGACGAGCTTCTACATGATGGGCGAGTACGCGGGGACGGTGGCGCTGCGGCTGGCGGGCACGAACAACGGGAACGTCTACGCGAGTCGGCATCTCACGGTACGCAGCAGCGGCGGGAAATGGACCAAGTATGAGACTACGTTCGACGCGAGGGCCAGTGATGTCGCGGAGAATGAGTGGCAGGTGCTGGTTGATGCGGCGACGGCACGCGGGCGTCCGCTGCGGTTTGGGCTGGTGCAGCTGTTTCCGCCGACGTATAAGAATAGGTGCTCTCTCGTCTACATTTAGATGATGATGCTCTTGCAATACCTAGGGCTAACCCGTGCAGGATCAACGGGCTGCGCGACGACATCGCCCAGCCGATTGCGGCGCTCAGGCCCAAGTTCCTGCGTTTCCCGGGTGGGAACAACATGTATGTCTCTCTGGGAGTGTAGACCATGGCTAACTGGCCAGCGAGGGGCTGAACATCGACACGCGGTGGAAATGGAACGAGACGATTGGCGCGGTCGTCGATCGTCCAGGACGCCCGAGTACGTGCCCTCACTTCAACCCTACCATACCTAGGTAAAGGCAGAGCTAAACCGCCCAGGCGACTGGCACTACCCCAACACCGACGCCCTCGGACTAGACGAGTACCTCTGGTGGTGCGAAGACATGCACATGGTCCCGGTGCTGAGCATCTGGGACGGCAAGTCGTACGGGGGCATCGTGTCCGGCGAGGACATGCAACCCTACCTCACCGACATCCTC